TTCTAATAATGAAGATCTTATCACACAGCACTTCACTTTGGAATAGATAGTTGGCATCTGTGAGAACTTTAATTGAAAACGTCTGTATTTATCCAAGCAGGATGCATCATAAGGACTCTGAGTGCTCATTCTTCTAGGTTTTCCTTTACAAAAATCAATTAAAAACTTCATTTCTGGCATTCTATAAGCCTAATTTTCATTGCTGTAATTTCCTATTGTGCAGTTTTCATTTAACAGCATTTCAGAGACCACATGTGATACAGCAATATAGCTTACTGTTTTAAGGGTTTACTGTGTCAGCATTGTTACCAAACACCACAGCCAATAACTTCTGAAATCTCAAAATTTGTGCACTGTCTATACCAGGTCAGAATGAAAAATGTCAAAACGTCAGCCTTAGTGATCAAATTTCCCCACTTGTCTGCTTCATTCACTGTCTTCCCCTGGGTTTTCATATAGCTCATTAAACAAAACAAACCAAAACCAGGCCTTTATAGAAAGAAATTTTGACATGATTAACTAGCTTTGTTGGTAATGTGTGCAACCCACCCAGGTGTCTAGACAGTTTGAAAAATACAGGTCATATTTAGGAGTAACAGCTGTTACTCCTCAAGTCTTTGTTGGACCTCAAATTAAGTAGGAACAGACCCTATCGATATTAGGTGGTCCTCTTCCAAAGGAAACATCCAGTGTGTTGCAGGAAATTAAGTTACTGATTCAGTAGGTGGCACTTTACCTTTCAGAGCAATGTACCACTTGCGCAGCCTGCGAGAAAGTTCTGCACTCCCAAAGGTACCCGCTTTGGGAAAAGTTAGAGAACAAAGAGTTCAGAGCCTCAGTTGTGGGAAACCCTCAGTATTTTTTCATAAAAGGAAAAGAAAAAAAAAAGATCAACACCTGTGTCCTGGCCAGATGCCAGTTTAGGCAGGTGTTTCTTGTCTGCCCATGTACACTTTATAATAACAACTTGGAGAGCATGTTTGCTTATGCAGGTTTTAGACAGTAAAATTTTGCTAGGCCCTCCTAAATAATAGTTAATGACTTAACAAGAGGTTATGAGAGGGAACAATGACAGGCTCTGGTAGGAACATAAACTGGAACTCCTCCAGACAAAAAATCTGGAAGGTTATCCAGAAGTAGTATCTATTTCTTGCTCTGTGTCCCCCACAATACCATTGCACAGCAAAGCTTCCCTGGGCCATAAGCTGCTGACTGCAGAACAGTCATACATGATGCTAGAGGAAAATGCAATGCCACATGCCTAAGAAGTGTCAACCCAAGCCTTCTGATTACTAAAAGATGCAAGTCTGAGCAAAGTGAAAAACTGCAGGTTAAACCCATTTAACAAGGACTCTGCCTCAAGATGCTGTATTTGCATAGATGCTTAGAAATTTTACACAAATAGCGTAACTGGCTGGGATGCTGCTGGAGCTGGGCAGACACAAAGGAAATCTTGAGGTATCCCTGTTCAGCAGGTGTATCTTTTGATTGAGTCAAATTTGTCACAGTTCTGAAAAAACACGAAGGTCTTTGCCCTGCTTCATTGTATTTGAGAATTTATTGCCTATCTTACTCATAGGGGGGAAAAAAAGATTTACAACTCAGCTAAGCTACAGCTAGTCAAAGAGGCTGCCCAAGCCATGAACTGTGGGTGTTCAGTATAAGGTTATTTAGCAAGGCCTAAATTCAGGCCATAAGTGCTTTTATAAGAGACTGTAAATCACCTTAACTTTTATACACTGTGGCAACATGTGAGCAGAGGAATGTGGCTGGGTCTGTGCTAGTCCCAGAAAAGGTCCCAGATGAGGCCAACAGATTTGGCGGCAGACGTGTGATACCAAGCCTTTGAGTAAAATATGCAGGCTTGTATCTCCCCTGTGCTACGTGCGTATGTGACTAGGGTGAAGGGGCAGGAAACCAGCACAGAGGTGCCACAGGAACAAAATGCACAAGGACAGCTTGAACACCCGATGGGAAGAGCATTGCTAAGCAGTAAGCAAATTGTAAAACACAAGTCAGACAAAACATCTGGCAGCTGCTTCAAATAGTTTTCTGTCTGAAGGGCAGACAAGCCTGCAATAGTTTCGAATCAAAACATGTGCAAGGACAGGATCAGTGCTCCAATGTGTTTTGTGCAAGCATTGAATGAGTTTTGTTCCCTTCAGCACTGTTTTGTATGCCAAAAAAGGTTGTGCTTTGGGTTAGGTTTTTAATTTTAATAAACTTCACTGAATAAATCACTATGTATTTCCTTCTCCAGTCATATGCAACTTAGTTTTTGGCATAAGATCAACAGCATTAGCTCTGCATAGGAAGCATATGGGAGAGAAGAGGGGGAGCATGCGAGGAAATGTTTTTCGTAATTGTCCTACCTTATGCAGGAGAGAAGGTGTGACTGCCAAAATAAGTTCTTAAAAGTATGATGCATATCCTTTTAAGTTTGCACATCTCAGGCACAGGGAAAGGGAAATTTGCCTTTTGCTGGTACTGGCTAAGGACTTGACAGGTACAGACTGATGTCTAGGCTCCAACAGGGAAGTTGTTTGAGCTCAGAGAAACAAATTCTCAGTTCTGCAGATAACGGAGAATTGGCAACTGTCCTACCCCCCCACCCCCCAAGTTTTTCTGTCTTGACATAGTCATAGCTTTGACCAAGATCCACAGTAGGGATGTTTGCTGGCACAGGTATGCTGCGCAGGAATGTAACCTGCACCCCAGACAGGCTTTCCTTTCAAAAGGAATTGTGACAAGACTGCTGAAGTAGCATGACATACTTCCTTATCAGCTACTAAACTCCTCCACTGAAAACTTCCCCTCTTGCACACTTTCCTAGACTCAAATTACTTTCACCAAAGCCTCAACTTCCAAGAGGAAACAAAAGCTACCCCACTGCTTGTCTAGAGCATCAGGATGCCAGATTCTCTGCAGAGTTGCCACAGCACTTTTGTATCACCAGCAAGGCAACAGCAAGCAAACTATCAAAGCCAGAAGCCTCCTATAAAATGTAGGAACAGTTCCATGTGCATAAACATTAGTCAGCAACAGCAGGAAGATGAGAGATGCTGGCCAGGGTAACAGGATTGGTTTTCAAGGAGGCCCTGATACAAGTAGGACTTGCAATTTTTAATGCTACTCAAAAAGGAGTGGGTCTGCCTGCCACATGCCAGTGCTTGAACACAGGCAATAGCAGGGGAAGCAGAGAGCCACTGATTCATTAGGACTTGCTAATCTGTGATATCATTTGTTGATTCCACCAGGTCCAATCCCCATCTCATGACTTCCTCCACTGTTGCCATGGCACTGTACATAAACACTGCAAACTCCCAGCCCTGAGCAGGTCATTTGTTTCAAATATTCCATGCAGCTGGAACACAAGCCTGTTTGGGTGTCTGGAGCTGAGCATGAACTAATTTCTCAGTCTTCTGCACCCGCCCCACCTTATGCACCCTCCCCAGCCTGCTGCTCTCCCAGAACCCCTCCAGCCACACTTCCAGCAAAGCAGAGGCAGCTTTCCGCTAAAAGGTAAGGGGAAGCTGGCCTTGTTCACATACAAGCAGAAAGTAAGTGTTTCACTGAAGCCCTCCACTGCCTGCAGCAAAAGTGACAATTATTGAATATGCTGGATATTTAGGCCTAGGATCTATAACCAGTTGTCTTCTACATGCGGAAAAAACAAACAAGATCAAGACATCTAAAATTCAGAAAGATTCTTGCACTGACTGGAGACAGAGACAAAAACCCCACTTTTTTTTCTAAGCACTCCTCACCCAGTACCCTTATAAGGCAGTTCACAAGCATACCTCTGAGCTTTAGTTGAGCCTCACATCATGTAGGGTGTTTGTGCAAGCTGATTAAGGTATTTGGTTTCCACACACAAGTTGGTAGCTGCAGGGAAGACAGAAAAGCGTGTGGACAGGAGGGGGAATTAAAGCCTTTGTTATAACTGAAAAATACCAAGTCATCTCACTTCCAGTCAGTTTGGAGAGGCTTAACATAACTGCTGATACAATTCCAGAGCATCTCTGTATTGCACAGGTTCGAAGTGGAGGAGACTGAAGGAACTACCAGCAAGCAACAAACAGTTCGTACTCCACAAACAATATAATCCGTATCTCCTCACAGCCCAGGAATGAAGCCTCTTGTGCAAATAGATCTCAAAATAGATGAAAACACAGCAACTTATAGTAGCGGGTAGGGAGTGACTGAAAACTAGTACCAAGTGACTTGAGCTAAATCAAGTTCATGACCTGAAGAAGTTACCCAGAACACACTGAAATTAATCGGCCATTTTTCAAGCACACATAATCCAGGGATGACTCTCCCAATACTCAGCTTAACCTGCCACAGCACCTTCTATAATTAACTGTGCTGTTCTACTGGCTAGGGATCCCTTTAGCCCTCACCACTTTATTTTGCTTTCTTCTATCCACCATCTCCCATCCTAAGGAAAAGGACATCAGGTATCAACATAAAATAGTAGGTTAGTGACTTGTTTTCATATGAGCTGCTTTTCTGGAAGAAAAAGAAAAGTTGTTTGCTGTAATCTAGGAGTGAAATTTGCAAGCCTGCACAACGCATCAAGTTTGGCAAGATAACCAGAGCCCTGATCTACTCAATCTACTTGAAACTATTTGAAGAAAAAGGAGTATGGTGTAATAAGTCAGTTGTAAACCAAGTTAAATTAGGAAACAGAGGCTGCTGCCTCACCACAGATTTTATTCAACTCCATCTGGAGTAGCCATTTTTAGGCACTAGTGGCAGACAAAAATCTCAGGTTACCACACCCTGCTGCCCTGTACCAATAGCTGCAGCTTGCCCTCCGCCCATGCACACCTTTTAGATGCCAGCTTTAAATTGTTATTTTTCTAAGCAGAGACAAGGCCACAACAGCCCTTGCTTTACCTGTTTGGGCTGGCTTCTTGGGAATAAGCTCACCATTCACGTAGAAGCTAGACAGAAAGAACTCTGATCATTTCATGCAAATAAAAACCAGCATCAAGTAATATTTAATAAAGTTTATTAGGTTACTGAGTATTATCTACAGTCATAAAATAGTCAGAATTTAAAACTGTACAAAGCAACATACTGGTGAAGTGAGAAGAGATGGAAACAAGGGAGCACAAAGAGCATTAGAAGTAGGGAGAACACAGCCGCTTCCCTGGAGTTCTGGAAGACACTGGTTCAAGTTGAAGGCAACCAAGTAGGGCTCCATACACACTGAATTTTTCTTGTGTCCCACCCTGTAACAGAAACTAGTACAAACTCCTACATTAAAAAAATCATATAATATTAGATTAAAAAAGGGGCACATCACACCCCACCCAGTCTTGGCACCAATTCTGTGCTTTAAAAAATATACTATGCAAGTAGTTTATTTTAAAAAAGGTACCCTACAGCAGCTGTTTAAAACATGTTCTTATACATACACCACAAATATATATATATTAACATTTTCAACAACTAAACTCATTTGTACCTACACAGAACTGAAGGGATAACTCAAGAGCAAAAAAACCAACCACACAAACATTTTTCAAGACAAAGAAATGTGCAAAATAACCCCAGAAAGGCAGCATAGTAACCTGTGGATAGGTCAAGAGAGCAGCTCCTGCTAGTAAAGGAGTGTCATCCTCTTTACTTGGCTACTGAGGTGATAATCTATTTGGGATGTGCTGATTTTGCCTGAATTGCTTGTCCTGTTATTGCAGTTCTCTCCTGCCCCACCCCACCCCCAGCTCTGGAGAGGTTCAGTTTCTTCTTGCTGTACCTGAAGATCACTCCACTGGCCTCTGTTAAAGTCTCACAAGTTACATTCCGCAGCAATCACCTTCTGGATTTCTCATCTGCTGATGGTACTTCTGCAGCCACACTGCCACCACTTTCTCTGGGACAACTTCCCACCCCCAAGCAAGAAAGAGGGAATGCTGCATAGTTAAGTGGAGATTATGCTGACGGTCTATGACAGAACAAAGCCTGGTTTGGATGACTTTAAGCAGCTTATCTAAGAAGAGAATTCCCTGGCAGAGCCTTTAGAGAAACACATTAGTATGTTTCTCTAAAGCCTTAACATGAAACAGGCTATACAGAAAGCAGACCTAAGATGACAGGACCTATAGCTGTGTAACAAGTCTCAGCTCATACAGCCTGTATCACCTTATTGCAGGAGAAGTTTGTCCCTTCCCTGTCCCCGCATCAGCAAGGAACCCCTGATCCCAGACTAAAACTTGCAGTTTTAAGTCAAGAAGAGGGCAGGTGAAGGCATGCTATGACTGCTCAATCAACTGAGTCAAACCCACTAAGAAGAGGCAGAACAGAGAATGGAGCAGGACAACTGAGAAAGCAATGGTGATAAACAAGAAAGCAAGATTCACTGTCTATGAAATAACATTAGAACATGGTGAGAAGTCCTGGCAGAGATACAGACATCAGCGACATAACCACCTTCTCCAAATTAAGAAGTGTCCTGGTGGAAGGATTCTTGGTTTTGGTGTTTCAGGGTTTGGGGGTGGGGTTTTTTTTGGTTTTTAAAAAAAACTCAGCAATTAATTCTTCTTGGTATTCCAGACTCTTCCCAACTCTGCTGGCCACCCTGTGCCTTTCCATTCTTAGGACCTGGTCTTAGTATTTCTACTCCTAATGCCTTCCCTTCCCCAGATTATGTTCTTGCCTTTAGCTGGTACAGAAAAATCACTCCCTCCTAGGTTCTACAACCCAGAGGATGCAGTACAGCCTTTTCTCAGGAGAAGCAGGGAAGCACAGAGCTTCTGAAAGTGTTCGTTTTGTAAGTGTGCTGGGGAAGTGACTTCCAAAGAACAAAACAGTTGTGAAACAAGGATTACTTGAGAGTTTGCCAATAAGGGCACCTGGAGGCTTAAGCAGTGGCAGGGATACTTTGGCTGAGGAGTTCCAACAGTAGCGATGACATGAGGGTGGAGAACCCATTGCCCAGTGGGTCAGCTCCAATATTTTGCCTTGGTTCCAACTCTCTATCCTTGAACATGAAGGTCATTGGTAGAGCAGGTAACTCTTGAGGGAAGCTGGCAGTGGCAGTGTAGGGATCTCATTCAGTCTTTCCTTGCCCAGAGCAAGCCTCACAGCTCGCCGACACAAGTCCATCAAAGGCAGTGGTTCAGCTGGGAAAAGAGACCCAAGATATTAACATCCCACAAGTTACACATTCATTTTGCTAGTTCTAAAAATCCCCCAGAAAAGACTGAGCAAGAAGAGTGAATGCCTGGCATGTCTGCAGGACCCAAGCCATTCAGCATTCACGTATCAGCAACTTCAGCTCCTCAAATACACAGGCAGAGCATGATGTTTCTGTAGGGGTTAAGCCACATGTGTGCGAACCAAAAAAAAAAAATTAGAATCCCCTAATGGAAGTTCCCCCTCTGCAATACCATTCATTCAATTTAGAACACATCTTCTAGCTTGTGCCTCTTACTGCAGTATCCAAAAACCTTTGTAAGAGATTCACTGAAGTAAAAGACTGCAGCAGTTTGATAGCATCGTGTGGTATGGGTACCCAGAAAGTACCATGATTTGTTTCTTATATAGTAGAATAACAGCTGTCAACTCATTCATTTGTATTACATACTTTCCATGAAAAACAAAGCCATTTGTCAAAGCTTCATGTCACTACTTGTATTGTGACATTTTCCATTAGAGGATTCCCTCCTGTATCATAAACCTGGGAAAGATACAAGCCTTTGGCTATCATTTTTGCATCCTGTACTTACAAACACTGAACAAGATAATACTAGTTTTTCAGAAATGGCATATGGGGCCCTTTGATGCTGAAGAGTCATTCACAACATACAGGGGACTAAGGTCAAAGCCAGAGTTAACACATCACAGCTGCACAGGAGGAAGATACAGACTAGTTTCTCACAGCTTCTGTTGCTAAGTCTGTCAAAGCTCACCTTTACACAGTTTGCTGCTCAAGCCTAAGGAGTTCCTCCTCCCCCAAGAGAGGGCTAACGCAAAGATAGCCCAAATTAAGCAGATAACTGGACATCCTTCTAGTAGCCTGAGGGCTCAGCATGCACCAATAGAAAGCTTCCTTTACAGACATCTTGGGCTGAACACAAACACCTAAAAACATCCACAGGAATGGAAAAGTTTGGCTGAGAAGCTGCAGTTTTCAGGAACCTTTATAGATGCCAAAGTTCTAGCTTCCACTACTACAAGCCAAATTAATCTGACTGTTCATACAGCCGTTTTAAACAGCTGAGAGACAGGGGAAGCTTAGTTTTTCTGAGCATGGTCATGTTACTGCATTTTTTACCAGAATTCATTCCATCAATAAGGTGGATACAAATCCCTTCCTTCCAGGTTCAAAGATAACAGCTAACATTAAAAGCTCTAACACAAGAGTGTTGTCAGTAGCCTCTTATCAGGCCACTCCTGATTCTACTTTGGAAAAAAGTAAACAGTCATACTGCTCCATGTAGAAAACACTTCCAATGAAAAGTGGAAAAAATTAATTTTTATCTAGTTTTTGGCAAAAAGTCTGTGAGAAGGAGAAGTTGTTAGCTGAGGAGAAACTTGGTAAGAAAATCAGGAAATGCACGCTTGAATTGGTCTGCCTCCTCAAGTTCACAGCCAGAGCTAACTAATGCCCTATTTCCCCCCTCTCCTTCCCTACTATGGATCACAAGCTATTACCTGCTCCAGGGGAAGCTGCAGTGGAATGTTTTTTCTAGCAGTTCTCCAAAAGTTCTCCCAGTGCTTCAAGCATTAATTATTCCTGAGGAATCATACCTCTATATGCACACCTCTTTGCTCTCCACCCAGCTATCATTGCAGAACAGATCTGTCAGGGCAGTGCTGTTGCTTCCAAAGCCCCACCATTTGTCATACATGTTATGCGCCACAAGTGAAAACATGGCTGCACTCAGCCCAAGGTACTGCTGGTCTTGCCTGCTCATGGCCTACTCTAGGATCCATGCCGCCTCTTCCGCAGGGACAGGTCTCTACAGCTGGACTGCACATCTCGGCTCTGGCTGTGATACTGCCAGAGAAGCCTATTACTGGCGGCACTCCTTTGGCACTTCCCAATGAGGTTATGCTTAAACCACTGGGGTACAAATATGCTGTATTCAGAGTCTGTCCCAATTCCTCCTGCTCCATACGGAGATGTCTAGGACAGAGGCATTGTCTAGGACAGAGGCATTGTCTAGGACAGAGGCATTGTCTAGGACAGAGGCATTGTCTAGGACAGAGGCATTGTCTAGGACAGAGGCATTGTCTAGGACAGAGGCATTGTCTAGGACAGAGGCATTGTCTAGGACAGAGGCATTGTCTAGCCAGCTTAGCAGAGGACAAGGGGCCTGACCTTCAAAGCCTATAGACATTAACATAACAAATACATTCCAATTTAATGGCCTTAAAAGGAGAGGATCTTCTTCCCACAGAGACTAAGAACAAGAACTTTGTCCTCCTCTAGTCTGCACTGATAACCAGTCTGACAGGAGATCTTGAGACCAAAAGAGAAAGCACACACATATCTGACCTCCTTCCATTCACAAGCACCACAATCACTGGACAGTGTTGCTATTGAATGCTCAGAAGTTGTTAGAGCCAGACACCTTCCTTCTGTCTGTGCCAAAATACTGTCTCGTCATTCCTGGCCTTATGCCCACAATTCACTCCTATGCTGAGAGCACGTTACAACCAAATCCAATACTGGAGGTGGCCGTTTCCTTGCTAAGTGCAGTTCTGTGCCAACAACTCCACAGACTTGCTGGCTTTGAGGGGAGCTGCAGATTTTGGCTTTGACCCTTCAGAAAAACCTGGTTACTGGAGCCACTGCCATTCTGTAAGCTGTTGTGGCAGAATGAGCTAGGTTTCTTTCTTTTGGTGAGAAAGTGCTCTGCCAAGAGCTCTCTATTTGGTCTTGCTGAGTTGAAGCGTATTTCTCAAAACACTTGTGGATTTTGCTCCTATCCCTTTGCAAGGCTTTCCTGGTTATTCTGACAGCTCAGTTTTTCTGGTACCCAGCATCAGCTTTGTTGTACCTCATGTCACCCAGTGCCAGGGGTTTGCCATTGCTGGCCCAGCATTAGAACACGTTTTAAGCACAAATAAAAGAGCCCAGTATGCTACAGCCTTTGGGCAGACACTGTTCTGGAACGCAGGGGAAACACTACTCTTTTCATATCAATACTGCCAAATTTATTTCACTAGCAACATAAATCCAGATTTTAATCCACTTCCTTCACCTCTCTCCTCCACCCTACCCAGAGGACTGAGTCACAGTCTGGCCCAATGGGAACTTCTGACTATGAGAGATAACAGACTTTAGCACGTTTGAACAGCCAAATTTATTACTAAGCTTAGCTAGAGATTGATGTGCCTATTAGTAAAAGGCCTGGCATGCAAGTTGGGCTGGCTACAATATCCAGCCCCATGCTAGGAATGAGCATACCCTGCCCTGAAAGAAGTAGAGAAGTGAGCTACTTTTTTGAAAGATGAGACATTCCCATTTCCTTAGACAGGGACAGATCTTCCCACCCTTGCCTGCAAGGGATTTTAAAAGTCCCTTCATTAGACATTCAAGGAAGGTAATTGTCCCTCAGAGATTGTTTCTTGTAAAGAGACACCAGGATTACATTGCCAATAATGCAGCTGTCAGAAGGACATTCCTGCTGATACTTTGGTAGCAATATAGGAAGGTTTGTCATCTCTAGATAGGCAACTGGCATCACCTTCTCCCACCACACTACCTCCCCAAACCCTGCTTGCTCCCTGCAGTGCCTTGGTAACAGTACATGTATACAGCCAGACAAGCTTTTTGAATTAGCCATTAAGGATTCAGAGCTGTATCCAGCGATCCTACTGCTGACGTGAAATCCTCACCTCTCTATCAAAATGACACACACACACCCAGGATGGTCTAGTAAGCCTGCACTTAAGTAGCACACAGATCTGTGCTGCTAGAATAAATACAGGGAGTTATACTCACGGTCAAGTCCATTCAAGTAGCGCATCCGAATTTCACAGTGTCCCCACACTGCGCTTACCACTGGATATAGCTTTTTCCCTTTGAGTCCCCGAAATGCAACACCCATGTATTGCCCATCTACAATGAAGCTCAGTGTCCCATCATCCATGTCCAGAACCACCAGGAAGGAGTCCGGCACAATGAAAGTTTCGTCTGGTTCTAAGAAGGCAGGATAGGTTTTACTTGGCTGGTTCTTGCCATCATGGTACAGTCTGTTGCGCCCAAGGTCCCACCCCCAAGATTCATGGTTGTTTCCTACAAGCGTTGTGTACCCTACTGAATGCAAAGGAGCATCTGCTGTTGCCACCCCTACCACAGCATGCGTGCCTCGCTGCCTCATTGCCCATGTGATCTGCCACACATGCAGTCCTCGTGTATATCCCACTTTGCCTCTGATGGCATCTGTACTCTGAGCCACCGGATGCCGGTGAAATATGAGTTTGTCATCCTCTTTAACAAACACATTCAGCGAGCGATCATCATTGTTCCATGAATGCAATAACTGGACTTCATACGATACCGGAGGCATGTCCAGTAGCAAGTCCAGACGTGTGGGTTTGCTGTAGTCGAGTCCTTGGAGTTCCTGTTTCAATGGCCTGTATACAGGGTCCCTCATATCCACAGTCTTTATCCCACCTGTGACCTTCTGACCCATTGTGTGTTCTGATTTTGCCTATTTATAGGCTCCCAAGGCAAGCTCATCGATTTACCCGGCCGCTCCTGCTGTCATTCAGCTCTATAGAAAAGGTTGCTAGGAGACCTTGTCAAGATGTGCACCAGTCAGTATTGCCTAATGGATGGAAAGAAAAACAAGACACGAGTTAAACATTAGCACATACAGCCTTATACGCAACACTTACAGAGCACAGTTTTAAACTGTTTGTCCTGACAACTTGTCCTTCCTTTCCACCAGCAAGGAAGGGTAATGTGTGCTACTTATGCAGAGATAGCATATAGATTAAATAGATAGGTACTAAGTTTCTAATGCCCCCTTCAGAAAGGCACTTGAATTTCTGCTTTTTTGTCTAAGGCAGGCACAGATTCAGCCACCAGAGCTCATCTTCTCTTCACAGTGAATGCGCTGCTCCTTATTACTGCATCACTAAACCTTAAGGGAGCACATCTGTATTTAGGTTGCCTCCAGCAAACCTTGCTTTTACATCATGATCACCTATATGTTGTCCAGGCTAGAAAATTCGAGAAGAGTTTATTCAATGCAGAAGACTCAGAACCCGGTACACAGTAATGCCTGAGACTTAATTTTTCCTGATTGTCTTCAGTTGGTAGGAGGACTGAAAACAGTGTCTTGTATAAGCATAATTTTGCCTGGTCTCCCAGCCCTAGTTCATACCACAAGGTCAGGCTGAGCAAGACATCCCAGTGAAGGCCCAGGCTGCCCACTGGTGTTCACTGCTCCAGCTCTTTCCAACCACCATGGAGAATTTCTGCCAAAGCCATCTCTATAGCTATCCACAATGGAGCCAAAACACATAAGGCATTTAATGCTCAGAAAAAGAGTCCAAACAGCTTCAGTCAATTTCTCAAAGACAGACCTGAGTTTACAATTGCATTGTCTTTGGACCCTGTAGTAACATCCTACAACTAACTAGTAGTGAGGGATTGGTTTATATGGATAACTGCTCTGCAAAGCTTTAGTCTGAGCTGTCCATAGCAGGAAAGAGTGGCGTTACTGAATGAACTTCTCCCTCTACTGCTCTAGAGAGGTTGGAACTAGCCTTCAGAATGCAAAACATTCATAAGTATAGCTTCCACTATAGGGAAAGGAAAGCAGGCTGCATTTCAGGAGGGATGTATTTGTGTTCTAGCTGAAGTTAGACCGGCAAGTAGAACAGGCACTACAAACAGGTCTAGTACCCGCGGTGTCCAAAACAGCTTATTCATGTAACACACTAGATTAGCACTTTGTGTTCTCTTAACCGGTACCCCAGTGCTTCCTTTGCAGATCTGCTCCCAGATCTGACAGACATTAGATGAAGACAACTAAATTCCAGCCTTCCTTTTTTGGCTGACGGTTGTAAATGAAAGTTCTTGGGGAACCTCTAGGATGTAAGCATCCCCTAAAGTAAAGGCTACATAATGCAAAGACACACACAAGTACGGCCTGTTGTCATCCAGCCATAAAAAATTTTCTTCCCTCAGCACAAACAGTGCCGAAAGAGAAATAAAGCATTGAACACAAACCATCTCCTCATAGCAGTGATCAAACAAGGTAGGAGCCAGGCAGTAAAAATGAAAGCTTCTCCATCTGGAGAGTTACAAACCTTCCACAGATCAGCTGGCAAAGCAGCTAGCAGCCCTTGATACAGGTTTGAGGAGATAATTCTCATCAACCCCACTAAAGCTTTGCTAAGTACTTTGGAGGCCTGACTGCAAGTCCAAAACAGCAGACAAAACCTGCTGGGTCCAGCCTCGGGGGACACCCATTCCAGCAGCTGTGGGTATTGGCCCCACTGAATTACTATAGTCAAGAGAGCAGATAAACCTGCTGTATGGTTTGTTTCAAATGAGCAGCTTCAGTTGGGGCAGCTTCTCTTCTCCAAGAGGAAAAAAATCCCCAGCTTCAGATGCAGAGTCCAGGGGGAGGAGCAAGATTCTTCTCACAGTTTAGCAGTTTTCCTTCCAAATTTCAGAGAAACCTCTAAAAAGTTTAAGCCAGCTTGGCTAGAGATACTAGCTCACTTTGCGTACCTCTCCTCCAGCACTGCATCCACCAAAGTGTCTCTGCTCTCACTCAGCAACACAAACAACCCTCTGTAAGACAGCTGCCAAACTGGGGGCAGCTATTAGGAGAATTAGAAGTGGGAGGGGAGCAAACTAGCTTTCTAAGAAAAAAAAGTGTTATTTTAACATTTCCTGAAGTGAGGCAATCATGCAGGGCTCCTGCCAGCTACAGTCACAACACTTACTCACAACCAAGGACCTCATCTGGCATTGAAAATAGAGCATGAATCAGATCTGGTTTAAAAATAAGGTTACTGGACATAAGCAGCAAGGCTTCAGCTAGAAGGTGACAGGGAAGGCTCATGTATGATCTGAGTTAGGGATCAATTCACCAGCCTCCCTACAGGTTTTTACTATAGTCCAGGGTATGCCACTAGAACTGTGACCTCAAATCTTGTAGTTCTTAAGTGAAAAGAGACAAGACTACTTTTCCTTTCCTTCCCTCCTTTTTTCAAGTATGGAGAGGAGAATGTCTGAGGTTCTTTACAAGTCACATCCCAATGCACATTACTAGGCAGTGGTATAGCTATTTCAAACTATCCAGGGACCTCAGATGTATGGCACTGACAGACAGAGATGGTTTGTTAAACAACTGCCATTTAAATAAGGTCCAATCATGTTATCAGCTGATAACTGAGACATCCTGCAAGTTAAGTACCATCTACAACATCAAAACTGAATTATGTAAGCCAGCTGGTCAACAGCTGAAAATAAGCAAGTAACAGCAAAACCAACTGAGGGATGGCACAGTCACTGGATGCCCATGCATCACCCTCCCCCAACACATTATTTAGTTGTTCTGCCCCACAGCTCAGGTGCTTGGGCCAAAGTGTTTCCGTGACACACAGGCACTCCCAGCCTCTAAGGGCACAGGCTCCCTTGCTCTGTAAGCCTAAGGAACAGCAATATCCCAAACCAAAGGATCCCAAGAACAAGCTGATACAGACATGAGCTGAGCTGCTGGTGTACAAGTTCAAGTACACTGTCTTCCAGAGACTTTGTCACAACATCGCAACGAGTCCTACAAACCCACCTAGTAAGTTGCTTGACCTACTTTTTCAACTCAGCACATGTATTGCATGCAGTTATTCAAGAGTTTAACAGCAGCTCCTCCCATTCACCACACTGTCCCATCTTGAAGCCCTCATGCCTGCGTGTACTCAAGTTCTCAGTTTTATACCTCAAAGCTAACACCAACTCTGTTATGAAGAGATTTGTGAAGTCACTCTAATAGGTGTCTTCCCTTCCCTGGGAAAGGCACATTAATGCTGACCAGAAGCAATAATTTTTAAATAGTTTCAGTGTAAGCCATTTGCTCAGGCTGGGATAAAGACCATCAGGCTGCTGAGACAGAACTGAATCATGTGGTACAGAAAGTACCAGATGAACTACCTGGCATTCCCAAGGCCTATGGCATATGGACAAAGGCTGTCAACAAGGCACTGGCTAAAGCACACTTGGAAGTCTACCGGCAAATTCAGCTGTTGGAACTTTGATTAGGATAAAGGAACAAAACATTGGCAGAAGGAGGAGCGGCAGAGATTTCCTGAGAGCTGTACAGTACATGAGAAGACTGCATAGGAAGCGAGAACCAAAACAAAGCAGACTGCCAGACTGCAGGAATATTGGTGCAGACTGCTTTGAAGCACAAAATGCTCAAGAGAAGACAATACAATTCTGTGCTCTTCATTAGCAAAACAATGCCTTGTTCATTATGACTTTTTGCCAACATAAGCTTCATTATATTTCTCTCAAGACCGCTGCACCAGAAAGGGAATCACCACAGTGAAAGACAACAGGGACTTCTGAAGCACATGGGATAGGATACCATCTCACTGCCTGCTCCAAAGAGAAAGCAGCCTTTCCTGAACACAAGCACCATTCATCACTTGCATTAGTTATAACTCTTTTCCCAGGCAGACTATTAACGCTAGATGAAGGGCAATGGCCAGAATAAAGAAGAGAAAGGGGGAAAGACAGACAAAAGATTGGAACAAAGGGGTCTATTACAGTGAGAGCAGGTCAGATACTGAGCACCGTATGCCAAGATTTAAGTGCAACATGGCTCCTTACTAGGGCAAGGCAACAATTTCTGCTCAGAGCTGGCTCCACTCTTCCTAGCACTAGCCTGGTCTAGAACTGCAGAGTGGCACCTTGCCCTACAGTCAGGAAGCACAATTATGCCCTCATTTTTTGAAAGAAAAAGCCTCTTCGTGCACAAGACAATACAGGCACTTTCCCTCAGCAGGACAGATACAGAAAAGCTTACCCTCTTAAATTACTGGATTAATGCCCTGGGCAGCTTGATATGAGACACAGCCAGCCGTAAGTGAAGAGATATGCTAGGGAATTAGCTACTTCAGAACCTTTGAACTGTTACAGGTTTAAGTACAGATGTAAGCACTGAAAGTGCTTTTATCTATCATATCAACAGCTCAGGCTTGCTGCAATTCTGCTCTGCTTTATAAACATAAGCTCATCCCCATGATGCTCTGTTCTGCTCCCATGCTATTTTCAGTTTTATTGTTAACCCTCTAGGCTTAAAAGCTTTGGAATGAAATCATAAGAGTATCTCAGAGAAAAATGTTCACTGCTATTTTCAGTGAGAATTAGATCTCCCCTCAGTTTAGCTGTTCAGAGCAAGTAGGTAATTTGCCATACTAGAAAGATACGCCAGGTTTCAAAACAACTGCTTGCTGCAAATAGATCAAGGCAGGAGACAGCAAAGACATTTCAATGGAAGGTGTCAAAGTCCCTGCTGCCGAATGGGGAGAAGACAGCTCTGCGAAGAAAAGAATGTATATGGCAGAGCAGAGTTGGTGTCCAACTTCTGTTTAGGCATTGACATGAACCAGGCAAAATAACTGCCTACCAGACATCTCCAGCTGAGGCAGTCATCTTGATTTAGTTCACCAAAGTGCCATGTACAACAAAGTAGAGCCACACTGTGCCCACGGCCACATTTACCCCTTTCAGCTGGCAGTGAACCTCAAAATGCAGCCAAGAACCCAGCTAGGCAGATGCCATGCAGGTAGCAGTCTCAGCTATC